AGAAGGAGGATGAGGATGATGATGATGATGATAATGATGAGGAAGATGAGGATGATCCTGAGCACGACGGAAGCACGGAAAGGTGGAAAAGGAATAGCGACAACAGCTCACAACAACGTAAACTGCAACTTTGTCCGGGCTGGACGTCGTGTCGCCGCAGAGATCTCCTCAGGCCAGAAAGGCCAAGCAGGTTGATCTGAGTTAGGTTTAGGGTTTAGGGTTTAGGGTTTAGGGTTTGGGTTTGGGGTTTAGGGTTAGGGTTTAGGGTTTAGGGTTTAGGGTTTAGGGTTTAAGGTTCATCTGAGTTCACGAGGGGCGCGCGCCTTGCCCGTCACCGTCACATCGCCGCTGTTGGCCCTGGGAGAGGTCGGGGTAAATCGCAGTCCACCGGGGTTCGTTCTCAGTCACCGGTCCTGAATTTCCTAAATCCGGTACGTTTTAGTTTTTTTTTGGATTCACGGAGGAATAAGGCGTTTGCAGTTGAAGACACCCGATTTTTGACCACACCATACCACACCTGAGTTCAATAAACAGCAAATATCCTCCATCCTTAGCCCCTTAGCCTTAAACCTGCAAGCCCTAAAAACCCAATAAACACTAAAGCCGACAATCCTACAAGCCTTAAACCGATTTCAGTAGTGCCGGACTTGCTGCGCCTGCCGTAGGTCAGGTGGCTCTGGTCCAGCACCACGCCCCTGGAACAGGGCTCAGTCTGTAACTAGGATTCTCATGGGCATCTTGTAGGGACTCTTAGGTTGCTACAAAGGTAAAGCTTGAAGTAGCAAAGGTTTTGGAGCCATTGTTGAAAGGTTTCGTGAAAAGCACAAAACAAGGTCTTATCAGGGGTTTCTCTGAGGACTGTGTAGCCGTTTTTGGAGAAGGGTTAATGGACAGGCTCTTCTACGTTACAGGGGTTCGGATGGGGCTTTCCAGGATTATTATGGGGGATCATGGGGGTGTAGGGCTCAGAGTCCAGAGTTTCAGGCTTGAGGGCAAGGAATCTGATGGATTGCTGCTCAGGATGAGTCTGAGGTTCAGGAGTATGCGATTTCAGGTTTGGTGCTTTTACTGTTGGGCTTCAGGCTCAAGAAGGCATTAAGTATTTATGGTGGCGTGGTTACAAGGATGCTTGGAGTTTGGGTCGCGCACCCATTTGGGCTCACATCAAGTAACGCAGGTCCAAAGTTTCCCAAATCACTTCTCGTTATGGGTTTAGGGTTTTGGGTTTAACTTCTCTTTGAGTTTCTCGAACCGAAGTTTCGCCGAGTGGCACTTCGAATCGAGGCAGCACGTACTCCTCGATGCCAAAGCTGGCCTGCGAAGGATCCCACAACAACATTTCCAGCGCCACGGCTTTTGAAGGCACAGTGTCATCCCTGAACCCCGAGCCCTCAATCCGAATAAGCAAAACCCCAAAGCCCAGCGCCCCTAAACCATCAACATTCAACCCTCAGTCCATAAGCCCAGAGATCTCTCGCCCAGAAGCACGGCCTCTGCGGAGGCTCCTGTGGGCGGGCCATCATAATTTGAGAAAGCAAACGTAATAATAAGACTAACCAATAAGCTCGAGAAGAATAGTTGGAGGAAGAGGAAGAACAATAGAGTATGGTAATCGAAAACACAACCATAATCGTATTCACAACAGCAAGAAGACGAGGAATACTTGCAAACGCAAGAAGCCAACAGATGTAATGACATGAATGATAAACAGTCTATGACAAGCGATAATGACTCGAAAATGGTCATCGCAATTTGGCGTTCCTGTATTTGCTGGCAGCCCCAACTTCTCGGGTCCAAGAACACTTTAGGGTGGTTCGGGCGCTTTAGCCTTTGCCTTTGGGGTTCAGGTTTAAGGTCAAGTTGCATCGAAACCGAAATAATGTTTGAGGTTTAGGATCCGCCAGCGCAGCTGGCGCCCTAGGCAACCCTATGCGAAAACAAAGCTTCCGGCCATCAGCCCTAAAGCATTCGTTGCCGCAAAGGTCGGTTGCCGACCTCTTTCCTGCAAGTGTCGACGGACAAACGACCGAACTAATGGACGACGGACGGGACGAACAAGCGAACGAAAGGACGAATGCAAGAACCGAACAAACGGTCAGCCGGAAGAGCAGCCAGGATGGACGAACGGACGGACGAACGCTTGAACCCCGACATACGGCCGAGCGCACAACGAGAGGACAAACGAAAGGACGGACAACCGGAGGACGAACAGACGAAGGATCCAAATAGATGAACCGACGAACGACCGGACGAAGGGACAAACGGACAAAGGGACGACCGAACGAAAGGCAAGTTGACAAACGGACGAACGAATGAGCGCGAATGAGCGGACGAACCTAATAAATTAACGAACGAAAGGACAAATGGACAGACGAACGAGCAGAGGACCCAACAGACGAACGAACGGACGAACGGATGAATAGACCAACAGAAGAACACACGTGCAGACGAGCGGTCAAAAGGACGAAAGTGAAGGGAGAAACTGAAGACAGACGAACTGAGGATCAGAGGGACGGACGCAGGGACGGAAGAATGGGCGAACGGACCAGCGGCAGGCGAAGGGACGAACAGAAGAACGAATGGACGAATGGGTGGAATAACGAAGGATCGAGTGGACGAGCAGGCGATCGAACAGACGACCGGACGAGCGGAGGAACGGACGATCGGAAGGGCGCAGACGGCGCCCTACCCCTACTGGAGTGTCGACAGACGCTGCGAAACAAGAATTTCGCCATGAAGTGGGGAGGTAGCCCACTTTGGCTCATAAAAAGGAGGGCTTACAAACTCACAGGGACAACACCTCCCATGTGATAGGGGAAGTGTGGATTGGGCTGACGCGCTGGCGACCAAAGCGCCAGGCACAACGAAAGAGAAGTAAAGACAAGGATGCCACCCAGCAAGTAAATCATACCAAAACCTATCGCAAAGCGAATAGGCCAAGACACGACAACTTTGCCCTGCACACACGAGTTGTTGGCGCGCACGATCACACACTTGTTGGCGTCAAGACTCGGCACCTCTGGTGGCTGCAAACACAAGCATGTCAGGTAATACGACCGCACGCACGACAACCCTTCAAAGGCCCCAAAGCGTGGCCACACGAGCTCCGGCTTCCTGTGCCACTTGCTCTCGGTGAAGCGGAGGTTGTCCACGCACCATTTCAGCGCAGAGCGCGTGCCATTGGCCAGATTGTGCGAAACAGCGTCGGTGCCTCGAGCAAGTGAATTTGTCTCCAAACCAGCCCGACATGGGGCAGAGTCAACAAACCAGGGCCAAAACTAAAGCCCTCAGCCCTAAACTCCCTAGACCCCAACCCCAAAGCCAAAATCCTAATCCCTACATGCTAAACCCCAAGCCCTAAGCCGAAACCCTAATCCCTACACCCTCGACCCTAAAACCCTAAAACCCTAAACCCTAAACCCTAAACCCTAAACCCCTAAAGCCTGAAACGGCCTGCTCCGACAGTGGCTTCCAACACGGCCCTGGCAACATGGCGGCCGAGGAGCGGCTCCTGGAAACGCCGGCGGTGGCCGACACAAAGGGTTTAGGGTTTAGGGTTTAAGAAGTACGGATGGTCATGACAAGAAAGATCATAGAAAACGTAGAAATGAACATAGTCACAGTGACAACAAGAAGAACCGTGATAACAGCCATGATGATAAAGACGCACAGATCCGTCGATACAGGGGGCTGAAGAACCAAAGTGGGTTTCGGGGTGCAATCTAGTACAGTTCCCCACCTATAGAACCCTTTTAGACACACTTATAAGCCCCTTTTCAAACCCTGATAGCACCCTTCGAGAATCTGCTACAAGCCCAACCCTGAACCCTGAATACGATCAATAGTTTGTCAGAAATCTCCCGACTCCTCGGCAATCGGGAAGTCGAACTCTACAACGCCTGACTCGCCGGTCTCTCGGACGACCTTCAGGGTACAAGGCTTAAGGCCTTGAAATCGGGCTCTATAAGAATTCCAAAGCGGCACTACACGGGATCTGTCTATGAGGGTCTCTAACAGGGCGCTATAAGGGTTTGCAAAACGGCCGGCTCCACCCTGAACCCTAAACCCTAAACCCTAATCAAAAGGGAAGGAAGGTACTTAAACCCGGCCGA